ACTTCGCTGACTATTACGTCAGCTTTTTCAAGTTTGTTTAGAATTGAAATTTCTTTTAAGAAAGGGTTCCAGTAAAAAATCAGCCGTTCTATAGGCTTCCACAATACCACCCAGCATAGCACATCGAGGCTATTATGCAGGCCTGTATGAATTCGGTTATCTTCATTCAATAACAGGCTTCCGAATCCCTGGCTGATAATTACAAATGCGAGACTGGCGAATAACAATTTGTATGATCGTAGTTTGAACTTGTCAAATCCTTCAATGGCTAAACTCTTGGAATCTGCGAAATGACGACGAATAGCATATAATAATGGCTCCGCGTAGTCTTTATCTTCCTCGTTGCTGTAGGTAATTTTGTAATTAAATTCAGACTCTTTCTTAGCAGAGCGGATGGAAGTCATAATATATTGCTCCAACTCCTGGCTTAGTTGTCTCTTATACAAAGGTGCCGGATCCTGCTTGTTAAAGTAACCGCATAGTATTTCCTTTTCAAGGGACAAATAGATAGTTATCTTTTTAGCGGGTGGCTTAATCATGGGTACTGGACTTCAAATAACCAGGAGTACATTAAATACTTTTACTACCGGATTATTACCTAGATACAACGCATATTTTATTATTTATTGAGTTCAAGGATTTTATTTTTCCCCACTAGGTAATTATGCCTATTAGAAGTAAACGCTATTGCGTAGTCAGTAGAATAACTTAAGGTATTTTTCAAAATTTTGCATATAACGGGCTATCTCTGCGTTCCTTATCCGTATGTAATCCAAATACCGAAAAACCCTAAAGTTCCATTACGGATGGAAGTATCAATGAAAAACCTCCCACCCTATACCGGGGCCTCCTGGTATGCAGAGATGGCTAATATTCCCATAGCTGCCGTTCAAATCGACCAACAGGCAAATATTCTGCATTGTAACAAAAGAGCAGAAGCACTGTTACAATCGTTCAATACACAAGGCCTTTTAACAACAGGGGCAATTTTTACGTGGCTTTTCCAGGATTCGCCTGATTTGCATAACAGCTTAATAAATTACAAGAGTGAATCAGGAATGGTCGGCGAGAATAAGATAAAAAAGGTAGAGTGCAATTCAGACGGACTGCTTGTTGAAAGGTATTTGCGTTACTCAATTTATAAATGCTCTTCTGGTGTCTTCATGTTGCATTTCAACGATGTTACTTTGGAATTTACAAAGGATGCCAAACTTCAGGAGCTAATAAACGAAAGAGCGCTCTTCCAGGAACGCTTCGATGTAACCGCCGATGTGCTGCACGATATCGGAAATGGCATCGTTGGACTCGGTTCATATCTCAATCGATTCAAGCGTTCGATTGAGTCTGACAATACAGCTAATCTATTAAACCTCGTTGATTTTTTCACGACACACGCGGAAGCGTTGACAACTGCTATTGGAGAGAAAAAGTCGCAGG